TTTAGAATTATATTACCCAACCTCATCATGCGCCCTTTCCCACTTCTTCTCCGCGCTGAGCCCCTCTGCTAAACGGGCAAAATGACAAATGTGGCAAAGAGTGACAGGCTTTCCAATGGGAAGATGAAGTGATTGTGTAATTTAATCCCAGCCACTTCCTGCAGAGGAGCCGTTAAGAAAGAGCGACTCATGGTAGCGATTTTTCCCCGTGCAAAGATATAAACAAGGTGATATTAATCTTCTGAGATTGAGGTATGGGTCTGATTGGTGGGAAAGAATGCAAGAAACTTCACCAAAATGGAAGTGCTCCTTGAGCTTCTGTGGTTCTTAGTCTTTCCTAACAGCCTGATGAGGAGTCCTCTGCCAGTTCAGATCTGACAGTGCCGGGAGATGTCCCCTCCGCAGACCTGCGCGTCTCCTCCCAGGGAGAGAAATGTGAGTGCACCAGGAGACTGAGATCCGTGTGTAGTCACTGGCTGAGGTTGTGAATGCAAACACCCCGACAGCTGACCTGCAGAGCCCAGCAGCTCTAGTCCTGGGGCGAGCGGAAACCAGGCGTGAAGACAGAGAGAGGAGGGAGGTTATCCGATTACTCAAGACTCTTACTGTTACAGCAGTTCACGGTCCACTATGACTACGGATGATGAAGACAAACTGACTTTGAAAGAAGACAAGAGAAAACTGAAGCCATTCTGCTGCAGGACTTGGCGCGGAGCTCACGTTTCTCTTAAAGCAAGGCCAACAGCTGCGGGGGTTCAGCAAGATCATTTAGGCAGAGATCAGAAGCCGCTACAGGAAGCAGGCAGCTGAATGCGTAATTTAGGTAGACAGTACAGTCTTGTGCACACATTGACAGAACCAACGGTTCGTTAATTAGAGAGGAGGGTCTCGGCTAAAAGACAAGAAACACGAAAAAAATCAATATGTCAAGGGGCACTTGTTTGCGCTGATGGATGGAACATCTGGTAAATGGTGACCCTGGAAAGCGGTCGATATTGATGGAGTTAGATGGTCATTTGGGGGTGTTTAAGAAGCGGGTGGGGCAGAAAGGTGCTGCCCTTTCTGAATGGAGAGACTGCAGTGCTTTGGAGAAGCCAGTGAAATCTTAACTGTGGAGTACATTTCACTGATAAGCAGTCTTGGGATGCACCTCGGTTGTAACGCTTTCATTCCAAGAAGTCTTTCTCGGCACAATCATGTTCCCACTTCACTCCCCACATTCCCTTAAAAAAACATTTTGTTTTGTGTTCTTCTAACAGGAGAAAATCGCCTTTCCTAAAGGCCTCGTTATTGAACGTAAGCGCTATGAGGGTGAGGTTTGGGGAGGGTCCCCGCGCCCCTGCTGTTTGTCCAGTAACCACAGCAGTCTCGGCCCAGGCACGTTGCTGAATCTCTACCTTCGCCTTTTTTTCTCTTTCGGTTCCTAGTCGTCTTCTGCCCACTCTCCTGCATCTGCTCGCTGCCACAAACCTGAGCTGCTAGGATAACATAGATAACAGAGACCTTTCCTAAGGCACCGAAAGCAGGACTCGTCTGAAGACAAATACCGATTTTGTAGCGATCCTGGCTGTCATCATTTACTCTATGCTTGATTACCTTTACAACAAGGCACTCACCTCCCATTCTGGGTTCTCGGCTGTGTTTCTGGAGATATCTAACTGTTCCTTTTATTGTCTCTTCTCATATTTAACTTAATATTCCTTCTCACCACTTTCTCATACTTAGCGCCAAAAGAATATGACTGTGGACAATCCATTATTTGATGAGGCACGATGAATCTTTTCCCCTCCAATCTAAATATAGTAGTTTACAGATTCCTGACCATCCTTGCAATTCATTTTTGGCTCGTTGGCAATTTGAGGGTGTCTCTTCTTAAAATGTGCTCAGAAGCGAATTTGTTAAGAAAACAAAACAGTAACTTAATCAGAAATGAATAGAGCAAGATTACTTACTGTACCCCAAGAACCAAGGGGAAAGCCCAAGCACACGTAAGAGGAACAGTAAGTGTATTAAATTAACAGTGTTTTGCTGTTGACCGAAATAAAACTCTCACCAATGACGCGCTTCTGAAACTGTTCTGATATCATCCTTCCCCTTTCACTCATACTCCCAACCGTTCCGTGGTCTTGGTTGTGGTTCTCATTACAGCTTGTAGAGGTTACAATGATCATCATCCACTTCTGGGTATTTTTTCCTTCTAGATTTTCATTATCTGCATATTCCTAGCTCTGCATCTTTCCAGGAAAAGTAAGCATGGTTCCCAGGTCTCCTTTCATCCAAATTATTGATAACAAAACAAGCCTGTTCAGAGCAGCAATTTTGTCTTTCCCTCTGGAAACCTTGTTCTAGGCCTCAGGGAGGTTAATCCACTTTCCAAAAGGGGATGGGATTTCTCTGTGAAGTAGATACGCATTTTAGCTACCATGGAGCTGTCTTGCCCACAAGACCATAAAGAGACCCCCGACCTTGCCGAGATTGTGATGTGTGTCTGCAATCGCAGTAGAACTCAGGAAAAGAAAAGTTGAAACCAGACACTAGTCTCTGACTGTGGAAAAGAAAAGTGGTCCGGTCAGGAGAAAATCAGTCATCTGAGCTAGGCAGGAACATATATGGAATCCTGAAAAATGCTTTATCAGCTCCCGATTGTAGCTTTAAATGTTTTTTTTTTTTTTTGAGATGGGGTCTCACTATGTAGTTGAGACTGACCTGGAACTCACTGTGTAGCTCAGGCTGGTCTTGAACTTATAGCAATCCTCCTGCCTCAGCCTCCTGAGTGCTGGGATCTCAGGCATGCACCACCACACCCAGCTTGTAGGTTTAATTCTTATTTAGTAGCTTTAAATTTTTTTTTTTTTTTTGAGATGGGGTCTCACTATGTAGTTGAGACTGACCTGGAACTCACTGTGTAGCTCAGGCTGGTCTTGAACTTATAGCAATCCTCCTGCCTCAGCCTCCTGAGTGCTGGGATCTCAGGCATGCACCACCACAGCCAGCTTGTAGGTTTAATTCTTAATTAGGCATTCCTAAACTACATGTGACTCCAAATCACCTGAGAGAGAGCTTGTTGGAGACTTAACATCCGGACCCCACCTCCAGATCCCTGATTTAGAGAGTTGGTAGGTTGTATCTTCACAGGAGTTCCTTAGGTGGTCCTAATGCATTTTGACAATGGGTCGTATGTGGACAAACAGTGCCACAGTGACTCACATAGAAATTCTTATGTTACACTGGCTCCTCACCACCTCTTCCACCATCCATTATGACACCCCCTTTCCCCAAAGCCTCGAGAATGGTTTTGTCTGTTTTTGACATTCATCGCTTTTACCCATTTGCTTACAGCCTAACATCCTTATGCTCACAAATGTGCTTATGTATTTAAAATTAAGATTTAAACCACATGTGTTGTTGGAGGCTGGTTCAGGTGTCTCAGCAGGTGAAGGTATACGTAGTCTAGGACAAATAAAACTTTGTGTAACCGGAAGCAAAGTTACTATACTGTGACTGTCTAAAGTTCCTTTTTTTTTTGGTACTGGGGATTGAACTGAGGACATTGCTCTTGCAAGGCAGATGGCAGCACCACTGAGCTAAATCCCTGGCCCCTAAACTTCTTAAAGCCAGAGCCAAATATGAAAATGACAGCATTTGTTGAGGTGTCACTATAGGTCAGTTTCCTTACTTTTATTATTCTTTTAAATCATCATACTAGAGTACATGCAGGATTTGTGAGGCCTGAACATTAGTGACGTTGTGAAGTTTTGTTTAAGAACATTAATTTAAACTCTGAACAACAAAGGCATAGGCAGAACCCAAAATGGCACGAGAAGTAACACTAAGGAACAACAGATGGGATCATACCAAATTACAAAGCTTCTGCACAGCAGAGGAAACCACCGACAGAGTGAAGACACAGCCCACAGAGTGGGAGAAAATGTTTTGCTAGCTATTTCTCAGAGGACTGATATGTAGAATATATAAAGAACTCAAAAAATTCAACACCCTAAAAGAAAAGACTCAGTCAAAACAAACAAACAAACAAACAACAACAACAACAAGAAGTGGGCCATGGGAATGGAGAGAGACTTCTCAGAAAAAGAAGCAGAAATGGCCAGTAAGTACGTGAAAAAATGTTCAGCATTGCTGGCCTTAAGGGAAATGTAAATTAAAACACTGAGATGCCCTCTTACTACAGAAAAGGTGGCCGTCACAAGGAAATCAAATAATAAAACGTACTGACAAGGATGTGGGCAGAAAGGAACTCTTCTGCGTTGTTGGTGGGAATGTAAGCTAGCACAATCATTATGGAAACCAGCGTGGAGGTTCCTCAAAACACTACACCTGTGGCCCAGCTACTCTACTGTTCGGTCTCTTCCCAAAAGACTTAAGGACATCATAGTACAGTGATCCATGCACACCCAGGTTTATAGTGGCATCATTCAGAATAGTTCAGTCTTGGAAGCAGCCTGTGTGTACAGATGAAAGGATAAAGAAAATGTGCTATTTATACAAAACGGAGCACTGCTCTGCCATAAAGAAACACAAACATAAATGGATGCAACTGGACACCACAGTATTAAGTGAAACAAGTCAGACACAAAGTTAAATATGGCACGGTTTCTCTTCCACGAGAATCTCCCTCTTGCTCCCTCTCTCTCTTTCTCTCTCTCTCCCCAGCTAAAAAAAAAAGAAAATAGCTAAATAGGAAGTAGCAAGATCTTTTTCATATGGATGGGGGAACCTGAGATGGAGGGAAAAAGACTTGAAGGGGGAATATGATGAAAGTAGAGCTTCTGCAAATGGGGAAGAGACAGAGTTGAAAGGAGCACGGAGAGAGGGGAGGAATAAAGCATGAAAAAGGAAGAGTGAGAGAGAAAGAATTAAGTTGTGTACATGTACCAACTCCCCACAATAACTAATCATTATGTACTGCAAAATTATATTAAAATATATTAATATATATAATTAATAAAATTAATTTAAAAAATACAGGGCATAGGGTGTGGTGACACATGTCTGAAACCCCAGTAGGGGGATGATGAGGCAGGAGGGTTGCCCCGAGTGGGAGGCCAGTCTAGCCTTCCTAGAAGTACCCTGTTTCAAGCTACACCGCACTGAAGAAAATAAATAAAAAGCACAAATACAGTACTAGATATAGGGCCTCAGCAGAGATCCATGCAGAAGCAGACAAGAGATTAATCCTCATTCATTCTGCAAATCCACCTGGACCTTGGCAGTGCCAGATTAGCCTGTAGACCTGTGGTGAGGTCCTGGAACCTGTGTCAACCTGTGGTTGACCTAGAAACTGAGGCTCAGCCAGTTCGCCCACCTTCTTGGGATCACACAGCTGAAGTGATGTAACTGGGATTTGAACTTGGCTCTCTCCCACTCCAGGGGTCACACGGCCCCAGGAACAATGGGCTTCTTCAAACAAAGTATGCTTATCGCTCCCAGTTGTGTTTGGTTTTGATCAGTTTGATATTGTGTATTAGGCTACCCTGGCACACCTGACTTGGGGACAATGAAGAATGAAGAGATCTGAAGTGAGAAACATATCTGTGAAGAGGTATGGAGATGGCTGTGTTCTGCCTCAGTTTCCCAAAGAATCACTGAACTCTAAGTCCAACAGCTTAAAAACTACTCTTTCCTTTGCATTTTGTCATCATGAAATAGCAAATGAGAACTTTGATACTTAAGGATATTTAACAGAAAGCCTTGATAAAAATATTGTTTAGCAAATGAGAAGGTAGATAAGGAGAAGTAATCCATATTTTTGGGGGAGACTGTTACACTTCGAGGATGTAGTCCTCACCGTGAACCTGTCGGGTAGACACACAGATCTCAGGGTCTTCATTGATTGAAGAAACTGACACTCACAGATCAAGTCAATCGGTCAAATCCATGCAGCTATTCCAGCAAAGTGGAGGCTGAGATCATCTTTAAGTGGCAGTGGTTTAAAACAAAGAACTTTTCCACAAAACGTGACATCAGATCTGCATTCAACTTTGCACAGACTACGTTAACACAATATAGTGGTTTCTGAAAGAGAAGAAAAAGATGGGAGCTTTATTTTTACACATCTGAAAGATGATTTATCCCATGCAGTACAGAGTCACTGAAATCCTTTAATTGCAATCTACTGAAAGAGTTAGTTGAAAAAGAGCTGGAAGGACCTATTAACACCCAGTACCAAAAGTGTGACAGAAAAGTATGAGAGGAGACAATTCCAACTTCTAATTGTGAAACTATTCTGTGTTTAGGTTCAGTGCAATTTTCAGTGAGCTCATTAAAGTGCTGTAAGGGACCACCTCTCTACCCAGAGCCCTGAGAAGCTATCTGACTGTTAGCTCATGTCTTTCCTATCCTTTGGGGCCATATGTCAACCTCTGACCTCACAAGGGTGGGGACTTAGAAAATATTTCTCTGCATTGCTAATCTACCCAGCACCATCCCTAGAGTATGACACGAAAGGGAAGCAGTGGGTGAGCAGGTTTGCTTTGAAGGTCACTGCATGTGCAGAGAAACAAAGAAAAGCAGATATGTACCTCACAGCAGGTAACCATGAGGATGCATCCGTTCATGTCTGCTGCCCAATTTTATCCCAGCTTTGTTCAGTAAGAGAACAGCCCAACTTCGCACAATAATAAAAAACTGGATGTTTTGCTCCTATTTGGCAGACTGGACCTTTAAATTATAATAGAGAGGTTATACAAGAGAAGCATATTTTCTTGCAAATTTCCCCCTTAGACATATTTTAATGAATATTTCTTTTCAAAAGATGTCTCGAGCTAAAGTTGCCATTCTCTTTGGGGCCAATATAGCAGAATAAAGACATGAGGATGTAGCTCAGCAGTAGAGGTTTGCCTAGTGTGTGTAAGGCCTTGGGTTCAATTCCTAGAACCTCAAAAGTAAAAAGTGTATAAATAAATATAGCAGAAATATATTTCAGTTAACTGTAGTGTGCCCTTTCCTAGTTACGCTCTCTACAGTACAGATGTATTTACACATCTAACAATTCATCATTACCATGGATTTAGACTTAGTTTCGCCTTGCATTTTCTAACATTTTTAGAGGATCATATTGCCTGCGTTGTTCTCCTTACTGCAGTGTCAGTGACATGGGTGCCTGAGTCCCATCCAGTTGTATTTCTGTGAAAATCCAGCAGGACCCTTTCCTGGGGCTGAGCAGGTCTTCTCAGGCAGTGCTGACCCGAGCTGTGGGAGCAGAGGCAGCTGGGCGTTGGCATCAGAGGTTGGCATGTTTTCCCTACTCACTTTCCAACCATATGCTTCGTTCTGCGTTTTGGCACAGGCTTCCCGTCCATGTGTAGGAACAGCCTAATCCACAGCACAGCCTATTGGGGTCGGGGAGGGGGCACCTTCTTTGGAGATAATCAGATGTGCTTTGTGTTCAGCTCCATGGATTTTACCTTGCCCCTCTATAGGGCCAGAGCCTCTGATTATTGCCATGGTGATCCATTTGTCCCTTGGGAACCAGCCAGAGACCATTGCACTGATTCTATGCAGGCCATTAGGTAATGCTGAGAATCTTGGACAGAATTGCATTTTTGTATGAAAAGAATCCCTGTGGATGCTCAGCACTAGGTTTAATTGGACTGTACAGTTAATACTGGCTGAGAGGGGACAAAGGGTCTGAGGGTATAGTCACGGAACTGAACTGACTGATGGGCTAGGCATGTTCTGCTCCATTGTCCTTTTCCTCCCTTTTTTAGGTATTTAGCAGGAAGGAGATGAATCTTAGTGTTTTAGGGCCAAAAGATATAGGCTATTTGCAAGTAATGGATTTGCAGATAACAAATAGTTGGGGAATTTTTAGAGTGTGGCATGCATTTAGCTCCTCATTGGCAGGACACCTGAAAAGTAATCGTTGCTTCTTAGAGACCAATTACTAGACATCAGCCCAGCTGGAGACCACATTCCCTCCTTCTCTGGTTCTTGTTGAGGTTTTGCCATAGATGAGTCAACTATTCCCATTGAGGGTCCTTTCAGGGCCGTAAGAACCTCAGCCCTGCCTTTGCAGGTATAGTCTAATCCTCTCTGCTCTGGTACTGGGAAGTTCACTGTGGGTTTGAGCATCCTGGTGCTCTGTGGGTTCCTACTGCAGTCTTAAGGCAGTGGCCACAGGTGGATACTTAGGCCATTAATTCCAGTTTATGTTGCTTCATAGGTTTGGCCAATTGGTTAATTTCTCTACCGTAAGACGCTCTATCTATAGGCTATGAATTAAAAGTGGCCAACGTGACTTGCTCTGAGTGGTCATACAGATGATTAATGGAGGGGGTCAGACTAATATTAAAATTCCTGGGCTTAACTCAAATGCAGTTGGTGGTTACACAGTTGTATGTGCCTTGTTTGCTCTTCTTTTTCTGTTCAGATTTTCTCATTTCAGTGTGCGCGGAGCTAGTCTTAGTCCCCACTATGCTAATGCCTGTGTTCAAATGCTGTTTTTCCCCCATGGGGATTTCCAGGCCTAGATATTAAAAATGTCAACAAAGAAGAGTGACAATTTTAGAGATATTCTAATCCAACACGTCCAACCCTTTCCCCCTTTCTCCCCAGATGAAGCTTTTTGTAGTTGTTTTAAATTTATTTCTTCATAAATATTCAAAGCTGTCTGCTACATGCCACCATCTTCCCTGATATCTTCCTGTAAGCCAGCCCATTATCTCTGTCTATATCTATCTGTATCATATAGCATCTATATCTATCAGGTATCATTAAACTGGATGAGGCCCTATCTAGAACCCTCTTTTACTCCAGAACACTGGGTTGATTCTTTTTTGTCCATCATTAGAAATATTCTTTCCTGGGCCGGGGATTTAGCTCAGGTTCTGCCACCTGCCTCAGAAGCGCAGGGCCTGAGTTTGATCCCCTGTACCCCCTGCCAAAAAAAAAAAAGGAAAGAAAAGAAATATTCTTTCCTACTCCCTCTTCCTCATGAACCTCCCGGAAATGAGAACAAAACTCCTCCTGTACTTCGAATTATACTCTGTGGTTCCCTCCTTGATGCCATCTTGTTTACGTACATCACAGTTTGTGTTGCCAAGATGTGTTCTTTGAGTAACTACTAAGTGACGTACTTTAGCCCATTACTGACTCTTTTTTCCACCTATGTTCCTATACATGATGATCTTTGTCAGTGCAGCTAATAGTTTTCGGCACCCAATGTATAATAAAATGATGTTCTAAGCCAAAGAATAAAAATATGAAAGTATAGCAAAAACAAGATCTAACCAGTCATCCACAATTATCATTTACTAGATGCTTCTGGAAGATGATGGTGATGGTTTGTGACATTCAGTTAGCAAATCCTACCTGCTTATAGTGTGATTGAAAAGTTACCTAATTTTAGCTGACGTCCTCAAAACTCTAAATTGTGGATCTACTGCTATGCTATATTCTGTGTTATCCAGCAAATTCTCTCATTCTGTTTAACATCTGCGAAGTTTTGTTCTTTCTCCTAGAAGCCAAGCTGTCTTGCATCCCCCACCCTTTCATTTTTCTCTTTAAGACCTAATTTCTGTTTCATATTCATTTTCCTATAGCTTCAGAACTTCCTGAAAAATGATTTTGCCACAGTTGAGCAACATCCTTCAATCACTTCTCTGTAGCCTGGTCACCATAGCATTCTCTTGTGGTGGAAACAATATAAGTAGCAGAGTAGAAAAAACAAATTCTTGACTCATTAATTATTTGCTCAGTCTCCAAGTCAACTGGGCCCCTGGCAGAGGTTAATCATGAGGCAGATGCCCATCTGTACAGGGCAGCGCTCATGGACAGTGGTCAGCAGTGAGTCACCTCTACATCAAGAGCTTCTGTAGATGATTACTTACTTTCCAAGTAAAGGTCAGCCATTGGTTGGGTCTAGGTTAAACCACTGGTTGACTCAAGGTACAGAAAGTAATGTGTAGGTCAAACAATGCAGTAAACATTAATTTCCAGTGTTTCTAGACCTTTGTACTCCAGTAAAGTTTTTTTTCTTCAGTATTAGACATTGAACCCAAGGCCTTTACACTGAGTTATACCCAACCCACCCACTCCCCTTTTTCTTTTTTTAAGAGTGGGAAAAACGTGTTGAGGGAAAGGAAGCTTCTGTCTAAAAGAGGCAGAAGGGGGACTGGAAAATGGGCTGCCCACTCACCCCCCTTCTCAAAGATGTATTATACAGCAAAGCCATGTGGTGAAGTGAGTACAAAGTGGGACAAAACTGTTAGACCCAATGGAAAATTACAAGGTGGGCATGAGGTGGCACAAAACCACGACCAACCAATAAGATGACAAGTACAGTCACCCAGGCAATATTGATTAAATGGAAGTCAAATGGAGGAGCAAGTCACGTAGCAAGCATACAAGGATTTTCAGTAAGGGTAGGGGGCCAGGGATATTTCCTGGAATCCCCTTTTTCTTTTGTGACAAAGTCTATCTAAGTCACTAAATTGCCCAGGCTGAGCTCAAATTCCCAGTCTTCCTGCCTCAACCTCCCAGAGTGCTGGGATTATAGGTGTGCCCCACCTCACCCCAGCGGCAGTAAGGTTTCACCTTTTTTCTTCTTCTTTTAACATACCTTTCTATTTCTTTGTTGAAGAATTCTGTGGAGTCAGGGTACTTCAGATGGCCCTACAGTTTCATTTCTAAAATTTTCATTAAGTCGTGTTTAAGTTTGTTTTATGTCTTATGAGACTTTCCACCTTATGAAAACTTCATCACTTTTTAAAGTTAATTCCATTAATCTTCAAAGTCTTTCCTTGATCTTCTTAGGAGATATGAACTGGAGTTATGAGTTTTCTGTGAAGAAATATGTTTATATCAGTTTAACTTCTTTGTTAATTTCTAACAAAATGTTCAAATGTTATGATGCAGAAAATATTTCGATTCTTTTCAAAGAAGTAGTCTATATCAGAGATGAGGCCTCATATATTTTTAATAAGTACACTTAAATATTGCATCAGAATTAATAATTTCAAGAAAAGCTTAAGTGGGGTAGAGTTAAAACAGAGGTGGAATTAATAGAGGGCTGGGAAAGATGAGGACTCTGAAATCTAGCAGACATGGTCTAAAGTCCTGGCCTTGTCACTAGTTAGCTGTATGACCTTGACAGGGGAATTAACTGCTCTTATTGTCTTAGACAACAGAGGTGATAATCATATTTCGTAGCCTTCCTAGAATTGTTCTGAGGTAGAAATGGGTAGAGCATTTCAGCTGTGTGCTTAGCATGTACCAAATATTGCATTTTTTTGAGAGGGTTATTATTTGCCCTCTGTTTTTTTATGTCTAAAAACTAGACAAAAGCCCTTTGACTGTTTAAAATACCCATTACAGGTGGAAGATACTCAAATATTTCCATGTTTGGGGAAAAAAAAGCAAGGAAACAAGCAACAGTTACAGCTCAGGCTTCAGTAATGAAGGAAGGATCACTGTGGTGTACTTTAGGTACAACCTATCCTAAGCTAATTCTTGAATAGCCTTGAATACAGAGCTTTTGGAGTAAGTTACAAACCCATGTCTTTACCAAGTCAGGAAATTTAAGTGGGTCAATACAAGCAGCAGTTGTTAACAGTTTGAAAGGATATGTGATGTTTACTTAAATATTAGCCTAAAAAAAACTATGTTAACTGGTGGATTCTATCACATAAGCTTAAGGGTAAGAGGTTGGGGATTTAGCTCAGTGATGCCCTGCACCTGCCTCCAAGCCCAAGGTCCTGAGTTCGATCCCAGGTACAAAAAAAACCAAAACAAAAAACCAAAACAAAACAAAACAAAACAAAACAAAACTTAAGGGTAAGAAATTCGAAATGACACAACTGTCACTTGGCTAGCTGTTTGGAACATGGTAACCTCAAAGAGGGGTTTACTTCCACCCCACGCATCATGGGTCCTCGACACCTGTGATATCTTGACATATTTATTCTCATGAAGGAAGTTAGTTTCATAATTTAGTCCACATTCTCATAAAGTAGGCCATAGAGGTGCTGCTGACAACCCAGTGGGGTCCAGAAGTTCGGTTTGGCAGCCCACCAGAGTTGTGCCTGGATTTAAATGCCCTCAGGCGATGCTACTGCTCAAGCGTGTCACGTGCTCACCACGTGCCATCCGGGTACCCTCCATCCAGCCGCCACGTTCTTCCTATCTCTGATTTGTTAGTCTAGGTGCTTGAGGCATGATAACAATTCTTTATAATGGTAACAGAATGAACAATGAAAGCTAGAATTACAAAATAATTCCGTTTTTTATGAACAGATTTATTGGAATAAAATTACATTTTCAAAACTGAAATAAATGTTTGTACATGTACCAACTCCTCACTGGGAAGGTAATCATTATATATTGTAAATATGTGCTAATAAATAACAATAAATCAAAAAAGTTTTTTTCAAAAATGATTTTGAAGCTATTTCCCTTAAAATTTAAATTTAATAAATTAAAATTGTTGGTGTATATTAACGGTAAGATATTTTCCTTTTTTTGTTTTTTGGTACCGGGGATTGACAGTTTTCCTTTATTTTAATTAATAATTCTATTAAGAAAGTATCTTTCAAAAAAGTATGTGACAAGTATTGCTTGATCTTTTGCATTTACATTAATTTACATTATGGATGAAAAATGTACTTAGGTTTTGAGAAAAATTAAAAATTCTATATTAAAAAGTTCTTTAGGTGATTACTGATAATTAAATAAAGATGATGTAAATATCTTCATTATAAAACATCAGTATTACTTTTATAGAAAGGAAAATGAAAACCTTATGAAATTATTTATAATTTTGAATTATAAATTTATCTTATTTCTCATTTAATCACTAGTACATTGACAAAATATTCTGATATGTACAAAAGTAAATTCAATCACTTGCTGTTTTATTGATTTTTTAGTTATATAAAAGCAGTCTCTTTATGCACTGATTTTCTCTTTTGGTATTATGAACGTATATTTGTAGAGGTAGGGAGACATTTTTTTCCTACTTTTTTAGCTGGATTTTTAGTGTGAAAATATTTAGGCAAATATCACCTATGTCTACATTTGTCAATTTAACCCCCTCCCACCCCAGACCTATAAATGTTACCAGCGGGTTCAGACTGAAGCGGAGTGGAACATCCATAGAAAACCCATCATTTTCCCTTCCCTTCTGCGTTTCAGAGATGACTTCATAGAAATATTCTTTACGGCTGCTTCCGCTATCACCCGTTTGTAGAAGTTGATCCACAGCTCTCCGTCAGTTATTTTCAGTTCCATATTGAAGGTAGTTTCCAGAGTTGCCATTTCTCCCAGCCCCTGCCCATAGAAACATCTCCTCTCATAGCAAAATTGACCAATATGGACGTGCAGAACAAAGAGAAGTCAAAGGGTGAAATTAGTAATACTCATAAACAAGCAGGAAAATTTGGAAACACTTCAAAGAGGTCATTTTACCTAAAGCTACGCTTACTTTTGGTGTCTTTTTGGGATGAACAAATTTATGTACTATTTCTATACAAAAACGTTATGCATCCTACTTACTGTGAAGTTTGCATGAAAAAGGAAACCTCCTCATGGATGTGTTAGTAACTGTCTTATTGTGAGACGCCCGCATCGTACTGCTATGATGGGTATTCGAGATAAAAATACATTCAAAGTGCATTCTTCACAGAATTCGTAGTCTAATTTAGTTCTGGTTTTCTCCCTTTTAAGTACGTTAAAGTAAAAGCACAGAGCTTTTCGTACTATCAAAAAATACATGCGTGAAACCGTGATGGTGAAATGTGATTGTGAAAGTGCGGTCCGTGAAGTTGGGTGTCCACGTAGGCCGTACTACACATCTCAGTGCTGATGGTTCACTTGAGAGGAATTCTGTGCAGGGATCTACCCGTTCATCAGGACCACCCATGTAGCTCTTCAAAATTCAGATTCCTGGGCCTACCGTTTACCTCCCCAAAATACAAACAGGGGCGGTGAGCAGGCAGGCAGGCCACATCTCGGCAGCTCGTCTCCCGCACACACGCTCTAGTCTTCCTCTGCGCTGTACCCAAGGGGGCGATCCGCACCGACATTACTGAGCATTTCTGGCTCCGAGGGGCACCCAGCAGTCCTGGGACGGATGCGGGACAGTGACCCTGGGAACCTATCCTCCCCTCCCAGCCGGTTCCTTCCTTCCCAAGGGTCCGAGCAGGCAGCAGTCCCCGCACCCAGTGGCTCTCTTCCTTCCCTCTAGTCTTAGGGTGCTCACCTGCTGGATGACTGCATTTTCCCTTAGGGTTTCTCATAATCAGCCCAAGTCTTTGAAATATTTTTGTTAGGAAATTTTCCTTAAATTACCCACTCCGAGTGTTTCTTCTCTCTCTTCCACACCCGTCTCCCTCTCCTTCCTGTCCCAGAGTACTGATGTGGAGCTTAAGCACCCATCCAAAATCTGAAGGATCTCTGCTCCCAGGGACAACACATTACTGTGTAGCCTATGATTACACTGAGTTTATTTTGAAGATGTTCTCCTACTAGGTATTCTTGTAACTCGTGATTTTTTAGAAATTTAAAATTTTGAATTAAGATTTACTGCCCCAACGTTAAGCATCAGTTTGGATGCATTTTGAAAGCAGCACGTACCTGTGTCATGACCTCGACAGCTGAGTTAACATTTCCACCACACCAAAATGTTTCTCTTTCCTCCCTAGTTACTACCTCTACAAGCCCTGTGTAAGAATTGATCTACTTCCGGTCACTACAGATTAGTTTTGCCTGTTCTGCAATTTGATATAAATGGAAATCTACGCTTTCAGGAATTGTCTTTTCTCCCCTACTCATCACGATGCTCTTGAGAAGTTGAGTCGCACCCTCATCATCGTGTCTGGCAGTGTTTTGTTTGTTTTGTTGTTCCTTTTTGCAACTCAGCAACATTGCAATATGTAAATGTACTCTAGCTTGCTCAGTTCTTTGCTGTCACTGGACATTTGAGCTCCAGCTTTTGGCTATTCTAAATAAAATTGGCATGAATATTAACGGATGCCATTCTGTTGATGTATCTTTTCATTTTTCTCTGATAAATATCTGAGTAGAATTGCTAGCGCACAAGGAAGGTATATGTTTAGCCTTATTAACTAGAATCTTTATTTCTATTTTGAATTTTTTTTGTTCATATGAATGAATATTAAATTTCCACAAATGCCTTTTTGGGGATTTATTTTGATTCTTATCTCTATTTATAAATAGGCTTATTATATACAGATTCATGTAATTTTTTTTTTTTTTGTACCGGGGATTGAACTCATGACCTTCGCTTGGGAGGCAGGCATAGTGTCACTCAGCTAAATCCCCTCTACCATCATTTGGGTAATGATTTAATTTTATGTTCTCTTATATGTACTTACTTACATATTTTTCTCAAACCTCTGAGAAAACTCTTACTGCAATGCTGAGTAAAAAGTACGTTAACTCAATTCATTTTATTATTTTATAAGCTTTGATTAAAATCACTTTCACTCTACATGTTTTTCTGAGTGTTTAAACTCTCATACCTTTTTAATATTTCCAATCTGTTAAAGTATATACATGAGTTGCTTTATTTCCCGTGAGCCTATATGTTAAATAATTATTGCAAGTAACTTTAGCACAGACAAGATTAACAAAGTGTGAACTGCAGGTGACCCAACAGGGAGATAAAGACCATAAAAATGACCCATAGAAAGCATATATTTGTGTTTGTTTCTTATGGGCTTAAAATGTGAAAATCTTTATGTCTTTTGGGATCAATCTGATGTTTATCGTCAGGTCACTTTGTCTCGCCAACAGGTTCTGAGATGGAGATGAAAGTGCAGGAAATGTATGAAGAATCAAACATACAAGGAAGTAGGGAAACGCAGCTGGGTCCATGGAGAAGTCCAAATCCAAGGTGGTCACGACAGAGACCTTGGTGATTTCCACAGGGAGTTCCAGAGCTCCGCTGGTCTTCAGAATCAACCTGCCCATTGCAAGGCGTTAGGACTTAACCCCTCCCTTGGCCAGACCTTCCATGTGGCTCTGCCCTCCAGAAGGGCAAGCAACCTCCAACGGAAGACGCTTCCCTGCTAGGAACAGTGAGGGAGTCAGATGCCAACACTGACAGGAGCTAGGGAAAAGGACCTCACTCCTGAAGGGGATTTCCACAGCACACCGTTGTCTACAACACCTCGATGCTTAAGAACACAGGACACTGAGCCAAATTATCTGAACGTTGAGCTAAGCCACGTTTCTTGAGAGCGTTTTGATTTTTTATATGCAGTCCTCCATTTGAGCTGAGCTACAATGGGAAGACACAGAATTTGGAGATAGAAGGCTGTTTTTCCTTTCTATTCTGCCATTTCTCAGCTCTCTGTATACTCAAAGTGTGGTTCCTTAAGGAATCTGCATGTTGGTTTCCTACACTATTACATAAAAAGAGAGTCATATATCTTAAGGTTTAAAGGTACAAGAAAATAGTCTATGTGTATTAGCGAATTTATATTGTATAGCGAACTTATACTGCTTTTGTATTTTTGCTGCCGAATGTTTTAGGTGATATTTATAATTTAGCTGCTCATGCACTGTTTAGGGGTAGGGGGCTGTGGCTGATTTGAAGACCCTCTGAATGCTTTAATTAGCCTCACATACACCTGCCCTTCTGTACAATAGCCAGAAACTAAAAGACAATAGCTATTTTAAGAGAGTTGCCACGGAGAACACTGCCCTTGTGACTAGCAGTACATTTGGTCTCAGAGGGAGAGTATGTCTTTGCTCAAAGATGTGAAGGACTCTGCAGACACTATGACTGTTCAGCGATGCATTCTTTGGTACCCAAATCTAAATATTAATATAAGCAAGTAGACAAATGGAAGAAGAGATGCTAATGAGTTACCCATTTCTAGAAACATGCCCTCTACAATTTCTCTGCTGGACCGCATAGCAGCTTTTTGAATAATCTTTTCCTAGTTTTGTAGATGCGGTAATCTTTCTTTTTCCAATGCGAAATATATGGTCATCTCTCTCTTTCTGCAGCACAGATTATGAATTCATAAGCAGTGTCTGTTCGAGGCTGAATTTTAATTTCTCACGGATGAAACTGAATATTTTTCCTGTGGTCGATCTTCGCCGTGAGCGTGAAGCCGCACCCTGGTCCAGAGGGTGATGTGTCTTTGGAACGCACCCTCCCGCGGATTAAATAACAGCTACTCCACCGTCTCCTGTGACCTTCGTCATTGTACAAGTTGTGAGATGTGTTACAACCCCTAAAAACTCCACTACAATTCATTTTCTCCTCTCCCTGCCCCTGAAATGACATTATGTGATTTCCTCTTGTATGCAAGTTAGTTAATAGCTAACTCCTGTCAAAATCAATTTGCAGATAAGTAAACACCTCGCAATAAATAACACCCTTTCAAAGTACGCGTTTTTTTGGATTGATCTCACATCATCCAATCAGTTCTGCCAATATCGCTTCACACTAACTTCTGTCATGTTTAAATGCGTGTATAGGCTAATGGGGCAGTTTGTAATTTTGCCAGACTGACGCTGTTGCTCAGATATATGGCATAGAGTGGGGTGAATAAGATGCGAAGGTATTTGTATCGAACGTTCACCAAGGGTTTCCCCCCTTACTGCCCTCACACGCAGAAGGTACCCTGGGAGATGAATGTGCCAGGAGAAGTTATCTGAGGCTCATAAAATCTTTTTCAGAAGATTGAAATAAAGTCAGTGCTTGCAGAAGACAAATCAATTGTGACATTTCTGAATAGAGTGCGAAGCATTTAATTAGCACAAGACATACTGGCAAATGCTGAATTACCCAATAAATCACTGGATGCTGGAGCCCATACAGGGCGGGGAATCAGCTGTCTTGCGAGATGTACAGCAAGTGATAATAGGGAGATCTGGCCATTTGTATTGTCACTTTGCCCCATTTTCTGCTTTTTTTTTCCCTATTTTGACATTTGCACATGGAGCTCCTTTAATTATTCCAAACTATCACTAAATTCTGTCCCTACCTACTTGGAGAATATCTTGCAAATACTTGCATTTGCAAAGGGCACTCACTGCTGATAATGCAATATGGCAAGTGGGGTGGCAAAGTGAGGTCCTGAGTACCCGGGACTAAATACAGATGAGAATCCTCGGCACAAACACACTGAGAAGCCTACTAACAGGGTCACTGTATTGCCACCTGCTGAAAATACAGAAGGTGTTACTTCAGTCATTTGTGAGTCTCACAAAGATATCTACCAGTTTAAGCAGAAAAAATGGCTGGCTTTAATGTTTGAGACTTTTGGGTTTAAAAAAAATATATATTTTTTTAACCTGGAACCGAGATGCTACTTCAGCCCATCTTTGAAATGAACTGCTAACGATCCCAGAGGCTGAAATCCAATGTTTTGGTTATTGAGAAGCTGGGGAAAATGGAAGATGAATTCCAAATGAATCTTACTGGTTCTGGAAGAAAAGGTGGAACATTTTCTCCAATGAGAAACATTTTATAGATAAATGGGTGAGGCTGCAAGTGAACCTTTTATTGAGTATTTTTCTATGATCTGAGGCATCTTACCTTATAAGCACCAGCTCATACAAAAGACCCCTGCTGCAATCCACTGCACGGTTGCTACTCTGCCTTTGATTCCATGGTAATTGGTGACATTTCAATGATAGATAAGGTTAGAGAGAGAGAGAAGACAGAGGTAAGTACAATACTGACTAAGCAAAGATTAGAGATGCAATGTGAGGAAATAAACAGTTTCATTTATTAAAACAAAGCTGCAGCCTGATTTTCCTGGGCAGCTGGAACCCTAGAAGTACCATCACCACTTGCTGAAGCCATAGTGGTCTAGCTGTGTGTGTATAATGATAGGAAGGCATGGCCTTTTAGTGTGCTCTTCCTAACCCCAAACCTTTCCCTTTTACTCATTAATTAATTCATGGACATTTATTAAAATTATTTCATAGGAATTTGTAATATGTTCACATGCAATTATATCATTTTGCCTTATTTTGTATCATACCTCTGTACAGTGTAGTGAATTCTTGGAAATATCAACTATAAAGCAGACCAAATATGTGTCATTGGTGAAACATCTTGTACATCAATACCAGTAAATGTCAAGTGAGCAGGTAGGAATTTGAAAAGGGAGCTAAAGATTCGTTAGTGGCTTCCACCAACCAAGACAGCAATGTAAGAAGCATCATCAACAACAAAAAAAGGGACCTCTATAGTTTCTTCTCTTTAAAAAGCTTTTTATGACATTTTTTATTTTTAGGAGGTGTGTTTCTCATTCTGCTTTTCAGGGCTTCTGCTGTCTACCTCGAAATCTAAGCAAAGCATTAGACAGACCTGTATTCTTCACCGATAGAACTGCTCAATTGCCTGGTGTCAGGGCAACAGCAACTCTGGAAAAAGCCCTGGAGATGAATGGGCAACGTCACAGTTGGCAGTGGAAGTGTTGGGCTGGAGGATTATCTCAGTGAGTGCTTTGAGATCCTTCTTATAAATCATGCCCTGAGTCAAACTGAGCTAGCGGGACTTGTGGTCCATAATCAGTGACAATAACCATCTTGTGGTTTCCTTAGT